ACTTTGCCTAGAGAAATCTAGTAAGCTTCACAGAGGAGGTGGCTTTTGGCCTGGGTTTTGAAGGATGAATAGAAGTTTATCAGGCAGAGAGGGCATTGTATAGGGAAACAAATAAGCAGAGGGATGGGATTGTGGACCAGCCTGGCATTTGAGGGGCAGAGGCTGTGGCTGTGTCTCCAGATGGTGCTCCATGTCCCGAGGAAGGCTCCAGGCTTTGCTGCAAACCAAAGGGCTTGGGAAATAGTTTCTGCACTGGCCATGATGATAAGAATGTGGATAAACATCCAAACATCACAGAAGCCTCTGGTTGGCCTCTTACACTCTAAAGCCCCATGCCCTCTGCCCTTTGCCCTGCTTGGTTCTGGCTCCAGACAGTGTCCCTCCAGGATATTTTTGCACACCCCCTTTTCAGTGACACAACACCGGATGTACCTGGCTCTGCTTTCCGTCCAACACCCCCTACCCCCACACTGACCAGGAACACTGCCAAGACATGGAAAATAATTTAGCTCTGGCCTTGAAGTCCCCGCTCCCCCACTTGCCAGTGAGGTGAATGTGAAGGGATCCGAAAGAACAGGAGAGGAGAAATGAACACCTAAGCGTTGTTTCCCATTAAGATTTCTCACCTTTCACATCTTTGGTTTATTTTCTTCTTCAGCCTGTCTCAGATGATACCCTTTTTCCATAGACTAATCTTTTACTTCTTGTTTATAATTTATTATGAAATACATTATTCATTCAAAGAATAATATAACGAATACCTGTGTGCCTCTTGAAAAATCAATGAGATGGTGCTGGCCAGGGGCTGGGGGGAGGGGGAACAGGGAGTTGGTGTCCCATGGTGTAGAGTTTCAGTTCTGCAAGATGAAGAAGTTCTAGAGATCTGTTGTACAACAGTGTGACTGTACTTAACATTTCTGTACTCTGTATAGTTAAAATGGTTAAGATGGTACATCTTATGCCAAGTGTTCTTCACTACAATTTTTTTTAAAAAGTCAATGATACCCGTTACTCCAAAACCAGTGTCTTTGTCTGAAATGGGCAGATTTCTGTTGACTTAATAGACCCAGCAATGGATCTCCTGGAGTCACAAAAAAGGGTAATAGAGGGAGAGGAGGTCACAGATGATCTTTACCTACGTGGGGCCATATGAATACAAGGACAGGAGCCTCCTGAGGAGTCATGATGTTTGAGAACTCATTTTGGGGGGCCGGGGGGAAATATGCCAGAGAGAATCTTGGCCAAAGAGGTATTTTTTCATACCGTGTCTTTTCCCTAGAGTTAGAATACAAAAAGTATATTCAACCAGAAAAAAATTATTACGGGGGCCCATAAAAGGGCAGAGGGAAGAATTGAGGGGTATGAAGGAGGCCAAAATTACTGTCCAGACACACAGCTCTCCTCTTCTGGTCTGGCTTCATCCCGGGGGAGATTACATGGATGGTCTCTGCAGGGCAGGCTGGGTGGTCTCCCAGGCAAAGCTCCAGAACTGCGACTTCTCCCCGGGAGCTTCGGGTGGACGCGGAGGGGCAGCCGATCTGAGGCTGTTCTGCCTGGTGTGATTCTGGAGTCCAGCCAGTGAACGCCGTGCTGAGGGGAGAAGCTGTGCCCTCTTTTGAGAGCCGAGGAGCCTTGAAGAGCACGGTCTAAACACACAGTCATTCCATCTGCACACTGGGGGCCTCCTCGGGCTGGAGCCGGAATCTCCTCAAAAGATATTTTGGGTCTACTCTGCCAAGCCCAGGGAAGCTCCTCATCAGAAAACAAAGCTGCACAAAGTTTAGTCTGATGACTCAGGTTCAGAGTTGAAGTTCATGGTGAAGGGGTTCATCTAAGAGCTGGAATCTCTGAAGGGAGCTCTGAGCTTTGCGGCCACTTTTTTTCATGTGTTCCCATCAAATTGGTTCTTTGGGGGATGGTGAGGCCTCTGCCTGGTTTCTGAAGGGAGGAGCGGCGGGTCTGCCCCTCAGGCAGTCTCCGGGTGCTGGGCCAGGGGAGACTGGCTTGCAGGGAGCAATACACCCTGAGGGGAAGGAGGGAGGGGAACTCTAAAGTCACTATCCAGGCCCGGTAACAGTATTTCTTACACCTGTGACAAGACAGGTACAGGATCTCAGGATCACAGGCTGTCAGGGCAGAATCGGACATCCCACATCACTTGGTCCCACTCCACCCTCAGCAAGCCAGGGCCCCAGAGATGTTAAGTAACCTGCCTAAGGTCACAGAGCAAGTAGCAGCAAACGCAGAATGACAACTCAGGACCTGAAACCCGGAAGCCTGAGTTCTTCCACCGTTGCCTCTCTCCATCCCCCCCAGTACCTGGCGTGGCCTGTGCATAGGTAGCTGCTTCATTAGTTAGCGTGGTTCCCTCTTCCCTGTCCCAGTGTTAGGGCACCTGGTGCTCTGTGGGCTTTCTCTGCCTTCTGTGATTCCGTCCCTCCCACTGGGGCTCTAGAGAGGCTCACAGCATGACCCTGTGTCTCGTTTCAGCGGTGAGGGGCCTTCTCCATCTCCCAGCCCTCCTGGCTTCGCTGATCCTGCTGCAGGCTCCATCCAGTAGCTGCCACGAGAGGTAAGTGTCTCCCTGTGCTGGTTTCCTGGGGCTGCCATAACAAAGCGCCACAAACTGGGTGGCTTCAGACAACAGAAATTTATTTTCTCACAGTCCAGGAGGCTAGAAGTCCAAGATCAAGGTGTTGGCAGGGCCATGCTTCCCTTGAACGCTCTAGACTAGAATCCTGCCTGTCTCTTCCAGCTTCTGGTGGCTCCTGGCATCCTTGGTGTTCCTTGGCTTGTAGCTGCATCACTCCAATCTCTGCCTCAGTCTCCACATGGCCTTCTTCTCTGCACGTCCTCTCCTCTTCTTATAAAACCACCAATCATTGGGTTTAGGGCCCACCCTAATCCAGTGGGACCTCATTTCAATAGGGTCTACAGAGACCCTATTTCCAAATAAGGTCATATCCTGAGGTTCCATGTGGATGTGAATTTTGGGAGGGCTGTTTAACCCAC